ATAATGTTGACTATCGTTTCTTCTTTGCTTCATCTTGGTGCTTGTAGAATACTTGATGAGTGTTCTATTAAGCAGGTGGAACATGGACAGCAACTGCACCAATTTTGGTACACCATGAGCTTGAGCCTAGTCTTCCAATTGTCATTTGACTTTGTAGGATTAGCTTTGTAGGCTCTCTGTCTCCATGCTGTAGAGACATCAAATGGCAAATTTTGTTTTGTACCCTTTGTCATTTTGTCTCCATATTTACTTGTTTCATGCACCATATTCAATCAATGGGGCCATGCTTATAATGCCCATGTGAGTGGAAAGTTTTGGAGGAGCTTTTGTTTCCCTCTCTTGCTGTAGCTTTTTCCTTTCTCCATTTTTTTTTTTTTTTTGTCTGGCATCAAACAAACTTATAAGAAATAATGGAATTCTTATAAATTAAAATATGGCAGCCCAACAACTTGTTTCTTTTAAAAACTAAGTCATTGAGATGGCTTTTTCCACCATGTGTGAACTTGAGAGAACGAGGACTCTTATGTTGCTTTTTAAAGAAATTCACAGCTGTAGTTCTGTGGGCACTAGAAAATTGTGATGATAATCACTCTGCTACAGAAGAAAATTGAAGGACTTGCTGCTTTCTTTAAACACTCGTAAGACGACCAACAGTGCGCGGAAGGAAGGAACTGAAAATCCCTGCATATCTTCCTTTTGCTGCTACTGACTTGGACCGCAAAATTTACCATTTTTGGTGCACATTGCGCCGCTGAGAAGCCTTAGCGCACTCCTTATATGTACAGTCTTCTCTTCTACAAATTGTCAGTAGCCGTGAGAAGAGACGAAGCTGATTTTGAGCCTTCCACTAGATGAATTTGGCATCCAAGATTTGCACGGGTTTGGCACCCAAATATTTTCATGTAGGTTGACTGCTTGCTTCATCTTTGTTCTTATTTGTTGATCGTCTTTGGGGTTTCTTTACTAGGCAGACCATTTTTTGTTCTTCAACATTGAGCCGGTGCAATTACCGGGAGAGACCTTGACAATCTGATTTCGAAGAGCCACGGTTGCGGGGTTGTTGCATGTGCGAGTACAGACAATGGGGACGAGTTTTTTTTTTTTTTTTTTGTCTTCATCCACTGCAGGTTCATGCATGTTTGTGGGAGTAACGAAACGATGGAAACACCATTGCCTTGTAGCTTGTAGAGAACCATATTCTACGACTTGGTGCACAAAATTTTGAGGTTGTTCCTGGTTGCGTTTTACAAGACAATGCCGACACTATTGGGCTACTCGGACGACGACTCGACGATCTTCTTCCTGGTAGCCTTTCTATAGGGACTAGGTCTTCAATGGCCTCGTTACGGTGGACAAAACCTTATAACAACAATGCTATGACCGTAGTGGCACATATCACTTAGATTTGATTAGAACTTCATGGGGTGGTTTAGACCATCCCGAAGAAATTCATGGGATTGACGACAGCGGCACAGAGCACTTAGATTTGATTGGAACTTCACGGCGTGGTTGTCGATACAAATTTTCATCGTTTTCATGGGCTGTTGCGTTGAGCCACGAGAAGTAGCAACATGGGGTTATGTCATGGTTGTCAATACAAATTTTCACCTTTTTCAGTCTTGACAAAAATGCACCTGCAAGACAATCAGCACCTTTAATCAAAGATCAAAAGCCTCACGCACCCATGATGAGTTGGGGGGTTTGGCAAATGGATCTCTGATGCTAAGTTAGTCTCTATGAGAAGAGTGAATGTTTAGCATAATCTATGTATAGAAAAGTTTCACTTGTTTTTTTTTTTTTGTGGAGAAATAAGGTATTTATAGGGAAAGTGGCCGATTTTTAGTGTAGGTTTTGGGGAGAATATTCCCAAGATATTGTGTAAATAAATCTTGGAATAATTGTGAAGATATTCCAGAATAAATGTGATTGAGATTACTTATTTGATAGGGTTTGTCTTCAATTGAGAGTGTTTAAATGTAGGATTTAGTAATTAATTCTACATCTAATGTCTTTGACTTTTTCTTGCCACGAGCATGGTAGCTTTGAGCAGTCCTAGTTAGTTGCTTGAACTTCCAAGGATGATGAGCTGTGCGTGGGCGTATCTGAGAAGTTTGCCCATGTAATGATGGCAATCTTGTCTTTCTTAGGCAAAAGTCTATGCATCGCCTTGTGGATTTTTGTGGTTATTTTTGGCTCCACATGGTCTCTGTCCTCTGATCTGTATCCTTGAACATAGGGCATTCCGTTCGTCATGGTTTCAAAATTTTCCACCATCGTATTCTTTCCTCCAAAGCTAATCAAATACCTTTTTAAAAAGTTAAGTGGCTAGGAGCATGTGAGAAATTTACGTAACAGAAAAGTCTGAAAGTAATTGTGAGAGCTTTTTTCGAGAATTAAATCGAGCATATATGAAAGCACCAATTTCATGAAAATAGCAGCAACATATATAAATTCATAATAGTATATTTTTTGACATACATAAATTAGTTAACACAGTTAACTTGTGATAGAGTATTAGAAGCAAGAAAAAGGAGACACAATATTTAATTTTTATATTTAATCCTAAAATTGAGTAAAAGATAAACCTATAAATAAGAAATGACATTTATCATAATTTAATAAATAGAAAATGAAAAAGCTAAAGTCGACAATTAGTGAATGGACATGACCCAATAAACTAGACTAAACCCAATAATGACTCACAAAATTCGACTTATACCAAGTCTACCCTTTTTCAACCCGCCCAACTCATTTCATTTCTCAATTTATTCACCGATAACATATAAAACTGATTTGTTCTCTTAAGTTCTTAACCTTTAATTATTTATAACCTAATAAAGCAAAGTGATTTTTACACTCTCTTTTTAACCTCTTAAACTCTCTTGTTATTTCAATTGTTGATTCTGTTTGACTTATTTACACTGATGGTCTTAAATAAAGAAAAGTGTGTGATAAACTAAAAAAAGATGTGCTAAAATCAATCCTCTAATAAATAAACGATTCTACAAAGTTTTTTTATTTCGCCAATCGACAAAGGCTTTTTTTTTTTTTTACTCCAACTACAATTTTTTGTTAGATATCTCCACAATGATTGGTGTTGGTCGGAGAGAAATGAATCTTTGTAGAACAAGTCTGATTTTTCATATTTAAGTAATTCAATGCATAAAAAATAAAATAAAAAAGAGGAAAACAATAGAGGACGGCATTAAAACTTCTTTTATGTTGTTTTTAAGGCATTGTTGTCAAGCATAAGTATATACACTGAAACACGTCGTTCTACCTAAATTCCCCACGCCTAATTTTTTAAACCTTTTAATTGGCCACAAGTTTTAGCTTTCATGGAGTATAATATAGGCTGATTTGGTATTGCTGTGTTTTGAAGAAAAAAACGGCTTCTACTGTGTTGTGAGAATAAGCTTATTTTTGCTGCTTCACGTTTTCAGTTTTTTTTTTTTCATCCAAAACTGTGAAAATAAGCTGTTTTTAAGTGTTTACCAAACAGATTTTTAAGCTCAGTTTTTTTTTATACCCACTTTTTATAAAAGCATCTCAGGTGCAATTCAGTACTACAAACCCCATTAAATCTAGCTAGATAGTCAACTTAACATTCAATTCATTTTAAATTTATATTTAAATTTCTCTGGATACATATTTTTATTAGAGTCAAATATGGCAAACATTAGTTACAACCACTTACATTAACCATCTAATTTAGTAAAAATCATTACACCAAAAAACCAATTAAATTAATTGAATAGACAGATTAGGCATTGAGCCATGTTCTTTCAACAACCTAAATAAACTCATCATACCCCGCTGGTAATATTTTGTTAAAAGAGTGACGCTAAACATAAAAGGATTGTGTTGACACCAATTTTGCGTACTTATTATAACTTGCTAATAATATTCGCACTAAAACTCATGCTACGTCGTAATAATTGACTCTTGAAGTCATTGAACATTAACGACTACGATAACACCAAACACTTACATGTTGCACAAGCTAGCACAAATCATTGAAGTCAATATAAAGATAAAAAGAATATTCACTTTTCTCACAAGTAACGCAAAGCTAAAACCCCACACAATAACATGAAGTTAAGAACCTATATGGTAACTTCTTCCAAAAAAAAGAAAAAAACAAGAAAAAAAGAACCCACATGGTAACAAAAATTTAAAGACCCACATGTGCATGTAAGTTTGACGAATTGATTAGAGCAGTGTCCATCTCTTTGCATTGGGGTTCGACCTTCATCTCCTAAAGTTATAAGAGCATCTTCAATTGAGAAATATAAAGTTTATATATGATTTTACATTTTCGGGAGGTATAAATGTTAATTCTATTCCAATAGGAGAAATATAAATTTAGGATTCCATTTATTGTTTTGTCTTTGATTGCGCAAGCCACCTCCAAAAAATGTAAAAAAAAGATGCAAATTTGTATTTTTATTATAATTTTTCCAGCGAAGAAGAATATTTTACATTTTGCCATGGAGTGTTCTGGCCAGTCATAAATATGAAACGTTAGTATTAAGGTATTTTACATCTTTTATTAGAGATGCCCCAATAATATATTTTTCTTGAACAAACGAGGTTCAAATTCGTCTTTGATGATAATTTAATTTAAAACATCTCACTTATAAATGAAGAAGAATACTAATAGACCATATAACTAAGTGACGCCCTAATAATTTATTTACATCGCAATACAAACAGACAAAAACAAAATAATTAACAATAATATTAATTTTGGCCTCTATATAAACTTGTCCTAATCGGCGGGCCGCTGTTATTTTCCCGCTCATTCGCAGCGTATTTTATTTTTCAAAGTCCCGTTTTTAATTCATAATACGCGCGGCTGCCCTCCTCCTAATTTAAACCACCTCGCCACGTCACCACAGTAATTAATTATCTATTTTTTTTCAAATTTTATTTTTTCATCCACTACCGTCGTTCTCACTCTCTCACCTCTCACCTCTCACCTCTCACCTCTCACAGGTTACTCGTCCCTCTCTCTCTCTCTGTCTCTGCAACTCTCACTTTGCCTTTAAGAAGACGAAACTCTCTCTCTCTAGCTCCCATTGTTTCTCTCTCTAGTCGCACACTGGAGAAAAATAGTAGCAGAAATATTTGATTCATTTTAAATAATTATTAAATAAATAAAAAAAGGGGGAAAACAATGCTCGTCGCTTTCGGTTCGCGAGCCATGTGACCGCTCTGACATATTCTCTTCCTCTTTGCTCTTCTTTTACTTCTCCTTCTTGCTTCTCCCATTTTTTTGTTTTTTTTATTCGCTGCATTTTTTCAAATCTCTCTCACGGAGTCACTGTCCGAGTTGACTCAGCTGGATGGCCTCGTCCTCACGAGCCCGCAGCAGCTCTCCTTTCTCCTACCGGAAGCCATCCAGTCCCTACTCCTCGACCTCTTCATCTTCTTCGTTGATCAACGGTCGGATGATTCCGCGCTCCTGCTCGACCTCGGCCTCGTCGTTCTACAACTCTGGAGGTGGGCTCGGGTCCCGATCCGTGACGCCGAGCCACGGCCGCTCCGATTCAATGCAGTACGGGTCGGGGGGTTACAGTGCTCGCTCGCCCGTCGGGTTCGCGTCCGAGGAGCTTTTGGCGGAGATGCTCGAGGCGCCCAAGGGTGGGGATAGCATATCGGTGACGATTCGGTTTCGGCCGCTGAGGTAAATGATGGTAGATCTGAGCGTATTGGATCAGATCTATGAGCTCTCGGATTGGAGGATTTTGAAATGTTGGATTCTAGGGTTGGTTTTGAGGTAATGTGATTGAATTGATTTCGTTTTTTGGGGGTTTTGGTTGCAGCGAGAGGGAGTTTCAGAGAGGGGATGAGGTCACTTGGTACGCAGACGGCGATAAGATTGTGAGGAATGAGTATAATCCAGCTACAGCCTATGCATTTGGTAATATATTAGTTAGTATATATTGTAATTTTGAATTTGGAAATTTTGGTGTGGAGTTAATTTCGATTTCGGTTAGTTTATGGAAAATGCAAAAGAAAATGTGTCGGAATTAATCTGCATTTAATGTAGTTACAGGGTTTTGAAAACTGATTGGATTTGGGGATGGTTTTGTTGTGGCAGATAGAGTTTTTGGACAGCATGCCAATTCGCAAGAGGTGTACGAAGTTGCTGCTAAACCTGTTGTCAAGGCTGCCATGGAAGGTGTCAATGGTATGACATACTTCTCTTGTAGACTACAAATGGAGAATTCGTTAATGCCTAATGAGAAACGTTGATATTGTTTCTGTAAGAATATGTATAACTGATATAATGAAACGTCGATTGTGGTGGAAATTCTATTAGCTTTAGTTGAAAACAGATAAATTAAGTAAGTTACGTTCAATTTTCTTGTTAATTTTCCATTTCTTACGGCTTGAGTATTGAAAATGCAGGTACTGTTTTTGCTTATGGTGTGACAAGTAGTGGAAAGACACACACTATGCATGTAAGTTCCACTTTCTTTTCTTGGGATTTTGCTACTGAAAGTTTACGCATATCGAAAGATCAAGTTGGCTTGTTTTTTCAGTAAAGCTCCGTTTGTGAGTTGCGCAGAAAAGGTTATGATGACCAATGTTTACACTCTGTCTCTTTGATTCCACACTAGGAGACTGGATTTAAGCTTGCCTTCCTTGGCCCTGAAAATATAAATGTCTAATGATTAATGAGAAACTGCTTTTATGGAACTGATTACACCATAATGCAAGTGTTTGTTTTCAACGTGAATGTTTTATCTATTTTCTTTCTCCATTACAAGGATTTTTTGATGTTGGAATTTGATGGCCATGTGCTCATTAATCCAACGTCTACACAGACCTTGTTAGCACCTATCTCTAGTTGTTCACGATAAAGGAGTTATATACCTGGAAAACCTTGTATTTTCTGTAGATTGTTAGTGGGAAGCGCAAGAGTGGTCATGAGAACCTGATAACAAATGGGTGCTGTTGGTTGTGCTGTCTTATCTTTATCAACCCTTTACAAAACTATCTTCGTTTAATTCCAAAAAGAATCCTGCACCAGAACTTGTATCCCCTCTGCCCCTTTAGATTCAACACACATTAATACATAATGTAAAAGAACTTTGTTAAAGGGCTGAAGGACAGAAATTTAACATAAATGCATAGCTGGTAAACTAAAACGACAAGCCGATCACTCAAAAGCTATCTAAACAATGGAGCGCTCCACTTCCTCAGAAGCTCTTCATGTCTCAAGTCACAAGAACCACATAAAACTTAAAGGAGCCCGTCTCCAAACAGCTTTATTGTTTTTTTACATTTCTACCATATAGTACCTCAAAACAAGACCTGGGCCTGACATACCTAATTGACTCCATACCCCCAAAAGCTCCTGTGCTACACGATAGATGGACAGAGTGTAGGTAGATGACTTAGATTCCTTTATGTGTTCTTACAAATATATAAAGAGATGCATTCTCAGGCACGATTGGATTGATCATCAAGTTATGCAGAGTCATTTTGATCTATTTATTTGAGCAAGCCCAAACACCCCTGGTGGCACCCATCTAAATAACTACCAGTGTCTAGTTTAAAGAAACTATTAACGATTTAATGAAGCCATAAACGATTAAAGTTTTTAAGGTGCAGTTGGGTAAGTCCTAAGTTTGGTTGTGCTTAGCCGAAATGTAGATGAACAACTTTTCATGCACTGACATACAGTTATGGTTAACTTGTTTACTCTGGAACATTGTTATGTGTCCTAAGTCCCTAATCATAGGTTCTGTCTGGCAAGATCACTATAGATTCTGCCAGAACACGATCTTTTGAACTTAGTTTTGTTCATCCATAATGTTCATCATACGTTTGTGTTTTTTGCTATACTTCGTATTGCTTGTTTGTGTTCCCTTAGTGTTGTGTTGACTCATTTGACTCATTTCTAAATCTACACAGGGTGATCAAAACGCTCCAGGTATCATACCATTGGCGATAAAGGATGTCTTCAGTATTATCCAAGATGTAAGTGCCCCTAAGAATTTTGTAGTTCTGAAGTATGACGCTTAAATCTTAGTTTTTCTTTATTCCTCCCCCTTCCTTCGGTTTAACATTATGCCAGGATATGTCTTGCCATACTTTCTTTTGTACATTCACCTAGAGTAAAAATTTATTTTTGTACAGCCACTAATCCAATCCCTCCCTTCATTCCCACACTGGTTTCTTAGTACCTTATCTTCACCTGTTTAAATCGATGTGTTTAATATAATTTTTTGATTTCTTCATGCTATGTCCAGATGTGATATGTTTTCTTAGCAATCATTATTTCATACAATTTAGTATTCACATGCCAATGTATATTTCTGCCACTTTCAGCATCCTGATTTCATTACTTCTGGAACAAGTTATCATATTACTAAGATTTCTGTCTAGTTTACTCATTTTACATTATGTACTCATGACAAGCTATACATATTTATACATTTCTATTTTTTACTCTGTTGAACAAAACAATTCAAAGACTTGTTTCCTGTTTGATGACTAACTCATAGCTGCATTCACTTTTCAGCTGAAGGAATTTCAGACTCCAGGCGTCTCATTTTTTGAGTATCTACAACGAGGTCAGTAGAGCTATAGGCATTGGCAGTCACATGTTAGGGTTTGAGATTATATGTTAGCTCAGTTTTTCCTTGGTATATTGTATCTCTCATTCCTCTGTGTTTTGAAGATATTTCCTAATATTTTAAACTCTGGGATTTCTTTCCACCATCATTTTACTTATATATTTTCATCATCATGATCTTAAGTTTTACATGACAGATTTTTCTTGATATCCCGTTTAGTTTTTGTCTTTATCCTTTATCCTGGAAGCTATCGTTGTCTGAGTGAAAGTTTTTTCTTTTATATTCAATATTCTTATTTGTATTGATATAAGGTGCTATTTCTGCATCTGGTATCAGGTGATAAATGACTTGCTTGATCCAACAGGTCAAAATTTGCGTGTTAGAGAAGATTCACAGGTTTGTAATTCATCTTCTAATGGCCTTCCTGATTTAACAGTATCTATTTTGTTTTATTTTTAGGGCCTCTGAAAGATTCCTACTTATATTGTAATATTTTTATCTTGTATAAAGCACATTTAGTTTTTGCTGGGTTTATCATTTCTTTGTGTTCGTATCATTGAAATTTCAGGGTACTTATGTTGAGGGTATAAAAGAAGAAGTTGTTTTGTCTCCTGGGCATGCACTTTCTTTTATTGCTGCTGGAGAAGGTACTTGCAGGGATGACATATTTAGCTTTTCTGTTTCTGCCAGTTTTATTAGGTTAAAAATGATTTATTGACTGCATTTTTAACCGATGCATGGCAATGGCAGAGCATCGTCATGTTGGATCAAACAATTTTAATCTGTTGAGTAGTCGAAGTCACACCATATTTACACTGGTAAACCTTCTTTATAACACACTTCCTTGATTTTGTTAAGTTTCTAATTACTCAATCTGTATGTAATGTTCTATCTTTTATCAATGTTGAGGGACCAAATTCTGAACACACTTAGATATGCATCACAACTTAGCAATGCATAATCAAAGGTCGTACACCGCAACAGGTTCCCGCTTTAGGCAGGTCCGCTGGGAAGGTCTCCCTGAATGTCGGCTAGCCTTACCCCCATTTATAGAGAGGCTGCTCCCAAGTCTCGAACCCGAGACCCAACCTCTCACCCGGCAGCCCATGCAAGTGCGCACCTCTCGCAACACTTTAAAACATTTAAGTCAATTTAAAAAAAAAAAATGAAATGCAGAGGTATGGTGTTACTTGTTTCAGCCTTGGTATTCCTTATGGAACGCAGCACAATTTTTTCAAGTTCATTCGTCAATATAATATTTGCCTGGGCAGTACAAGGCTTTGAGATAAATGTGTGAATATTTAGACTGTTTTTGTTATTTCCTACTTTTCTTTGTCAAATTTCTTTGTGTCAGTATTTTTTCTTTATGTAAGCACATGAAATTCTGACTTTTGTGAAACATTCCTGCTAATCATATTTAACTTGGATGCATTTGCAGATGATTGAAAGCAGTGCCCATGGTGATGAGTATGACGGAGTGATCTTCTCTCAACTTGTATGGTTCAAATGAATTGTCCTCCCAACTATTAGATTCTTTAGTTTCCTACATAATTTTTCACTTATTATTATTTTGTTTGTTTTCTTTAGAATTTAATTGATCTAGCTGGATCTGAGAGCTCGAAAACCGAAACAACTGGACTAAGAAGAAAGGAAGGATCATACATAAACAAGAGTCTTCTAACTCTTGGAACTGTAAGTGCCTTACAATTTGATTAAATAACATTAACTGCATAATCAGTGTTATCTATGTTCCTAAGCCTAAGCAAAGCCTTCATGCACACTGTTCTAGCCATATGAAAGAATGTATATGGTGACAACTTTTTCTGCAACATGATGCTGATGCACTTTTCACTTTTAGCTGAACGGAACTTCATATTTCTTTTTTGTTTAGTGGTCACTCTTTTTGTTTTAGAAAACAAAGTGGCTACAATTTTTATAAATCGTGTTGAAGTTTCTAATGAACAGAAAAGCAATATGATATTTAGTTCTTAACTTGATGTTATGGTTGCAATGAAGGTAATTGGAAAGCTGAGTGAGGGAAAGGCATCCCATGTTCCATATCGAGATTCTAAGCTTACCCGCCTTTTACAATCCTCGTTAGGTGGGCATGGACATGTTTCGGTGAGTTCCAACACTACCATTGTTAGCCCATTTGCAGTGAAATTTGCTTTTGAATCAATTATTTTGAAAAAATTGTGCGGTTAAAAAAGCTAAAACTATCATAACTTTGCTTTTTATATTTATTTATGTATTTATTTACCTTTTTTTCTTTCCTTGCACATGTTTTCCCAGCTTATTTGCACGGTGACTCCTGCATCAAGTAGCATGGAGGAAACTCATAATACATTGAAGTTTGCAAACAGGGCAAAGCGAGTAGAAATCTATGCATCGCGTAATAAGGTGTGCAACAACTCATGGCATGAATACAGTTTTAAGGCACTACTCAACATTAAACACTTAAGGCTCACTATTCTGCCCTTTGGCTTTTCTTTGAAATTATTTCTAGCAGATTATTGATGAAAAGTCATTGATTAAGAAGTATCAAAGAGAGATTTCGGTCCTGAAAACAGAACTTGATCAGCTAAGGAAGGGGATGCTTGTTGGCATAAGTCATGAGGAGATTATCAGCTTAAAGCAAAAGGTTTTGTTCCTAAACTGAAATAAATTGTTTTGGCTTATTAATGAGTTTATACTAATAAGATTTACATATGATTGTTTTGGTTTGGAAATAGTTGGAAGAAGGTCAATTTAAAATGCAATCAAGATTGGAGGAAGAAGAGGAAGCGAAGGCTGCTCTTATGAGTAGAATCCAGAGGCTGACGAAGCTTATCCTTGTTTCTTCAAAAAATACAATTCCTGGATTAGGTGATATTCCCAGCCACCAACGCAGTTTTTCTGTTGGTGAGGATGACGTGAGTTCCTTACTCATTTAAGTTGTATATGGTCTGTGCTGTTTTCTGCTCCTTTCTTTGACGTTAGTTGTTTGAGCTTGAATGTTGACAAGTCACTATGAGGAGAAACTCTGTGTTGAAAACTTGAAAGTTTGAGAAATTATTTTTGTTTTGCAAGTTATGCAGACAAGGATGTATGTCTCATGTTACTGTTTGATTTCTTAGCTTTAGCACAGAAAAAAAGGACTTCATATCCGATCACTTACTTTTAATGTTAACTTTATGTTTTTTCCCTTTCTACTTAATATTCTCTTAAAAGGTTTATAGTGTTGCCAAATTTGATATTTCGTACTTGTTTTCTGGTGTGGAAAGCATCGTACAATGTTTACATTTTGTTGTGGCTTTTGTATGGCAGAAAATGGAAGTAGTGCGAGATGGACCCTTGCTTCTAGAAGGTGAGAACCAAAAGGAGTCACCATCATCTGCATCTGCTGGTCCATCAGATATGGCTTATGATTTTAGACACAAGAGATCTTCCAGCAGGAGGAATGAAGAGCTCTCCCCAGCTGGCAGTACAATTACAGATTCAACTCAAGCGGGTGAACTTATCAGTGGTTCAAGAGTTCCGATGGTAACTAATTTTAGTATATTTTTGTTCTGTTCCACTTCCATTTCAGCGTATAAGGATGCATTTGTCGAACTATCACAAATACATTTGATTTCTATTTCAAGTCTTGGTAATAATATTTTGAAATCAGTATGAGGGAGAAGTTTAGTTTTTTGGCTAAATTAATTTTGCAAAACATTTCTCGGGCCAACTGTCTGAGGAAGAGGGAAGTGGAACTTGCTTGCTTCTTTCCCACATGTTTGAGCTTGCGTGCAGCAAATATATGTATATGGGCTTACACATGCTTATACAAGCATACACTTATAGGAAGTTTCAAATAGGATCCATGAGGATAGATCTTGTCTATTTTCCAGAGTTCTTTCCATTCTTCCTTCAAATACTTTTCTTGTTCAGAACTCACTCATTCATTTATCAAATCAGGATGTGCCATGAAGTTTCTTGTATCTACTATTTGATTTTGCCACATAATGACTATTATTTCTTATTAACAGACTTGTGGTAAGTAATAATTGCCTTTGGGCAAGTTCTATATATAATTTACATAGACACTTCAGTATGAATTCATTTGTTGGCTCAAATATTAATTTTTTCATTAAAGTATTTATCCTTCAATATTATGATGTAATTATGATTGCTTATTTTAATATACTTTAGGGAGGGATGACAATGTCAGATCACATAGACCTGCTGGTTGAGCAAGTTAAGATGCTTGCTGGAGAGATTGCACTTGGCACCAGCTCCTTGAAACGATTGGTGGAGCAGTCTGTAGATGACCCTGAAAGCTCAAAAACTCAAGTATAAATTCTATTCTTATTAATCATATTCTGCATATTTAGAAGTCCTAATTTTGTCTCCAGAATGTTGTGAAAGCTTGGTTAACAAAAAAGAAGAGACGGTGGCTTGCACTTGTTAGTTCAATGTTGGATGGGGCGTATTTAACACAATATTAATTGGCATTTGGAACTAATTGAACATATCAGTGGAGTTTGTCATTTGGACCCATCTTACTGTGGTATTCTGTGATAAATGAGATCATGTTCATTTGAATCTAATCAGTTTTTACAAGCAATAATGTAAAATTTACAGGCCTGTCTAGTTCATGAACGCCATTTAGCACTCAAAATCCTAAATAGTTTAACAGTTTACAGATTCATTTGAGCAGCAGCTGAAGTATGTTTACTTAAATGATCCTGATTAACAATCCATGCTTACAGATTGAGAACTTGGAACGTGATATCCATGAAAAGAGAAGGCAAATGAGAATTTTGGAACAGCGCATTAACGAAAGTGGTGAGGCTTCAATTGCTAATGCATCTATGGTTGAGATGCAGCAGGTAGTTTTGCATTCTCATCATCTTAATTATTATTGTTCATAAGTAGTACAATGTTGTTTTAATTACTTCTAATTTCTGCAACAGACAGTTAAGAGACTGACGACCCAGTGCAATGAGAAGGGATTTGAATTGGAAGTGAGTGCATGCTTTATATATCTGTTTTTCATGGACACAAAATGGGCAATGTTTGATTTCTAAAGTTCTCCTATTGCTTAAGCTATTAACTGTGTTTGGGGCTGTAACATTTGCTCAGTACATTCTAATTGTCATGGAACTCATCTTTGAAGTGTACCTTTCATGCAGATAAAATCAGCAGACAATCGTATTCTCCAGGAGCAATTGCAAAATAAGGTTAGAATGCCTTCCCTAGTTCCTTTGGAGAATTATCTTTCGTTAACTTTTTCTTCCATTCAGCTGATTCCTTTTAAGCTTTGTTTTGTATCAGTGCAGGATTTTATATCCTTTGGTATATTGCTGAGCTTTCTGTGTATTTGCAGTGTGCAGAGAACATGGAGTTGCAAGAAAAAGTGGATCAGTTAGAGCGGCGTTTGGCTTCAGTATCTGGTGAAAGATCATCACCGTCTTCCGAGCACTGTGCATCTGAAGAGTATGTTGAGGAGTTGCAAAAGAAAATTCAGTCTCAGGTGATTACTGAAACTTTCTGCCTTATCAATCCATAACGCTTGATGGATTAGTAAATGCTAGCGAGTACCTTAGATTCAAGTATATTGCCATAATCTTGACTAGCACTCCCTCTTTTGTTTTAGTTTATTGTTCTTGGTTCATGTGAGCTTTTATAGAAGTTATAGTTTCTCTGTCGTCATTACTTGACAATGGAATTTATATCTATTTATTATTTAGAATGATGAAATCCATAGCTTTGTTTAGTTATATATATATATTTTTTTTACTTTCGTATGAATTGGTTACTATTTGTACCGAAAAAAGAATTGGTTAGTATTAGGATTTTTCTTTCGTGTGCTTGAATATTGTTGTGGCAATGTAAGACGTTGTTTTCATCCTATACATCGAACTAATTGATGCTTTTGTTCCATCTCATAGGAGATTGAGAATGAAAAACTAAAGCTGGAGCACGTGCGTTTCTCGGAGGAGAGTAGTGGGTTACATGTGCAGAATCAAAAACTGGCCGAAGAAGCTTCTTATGCAAAGGAACTGGCATCGGCTGCTGCTGTTGAGTTGAAGAATTTGGCTGGTGAAGTGACAAAGCTCTCATTGCAGAATGCAAAACTAGAAAAAGAATTGTTGGCTGCTCGGGAGGTAGCCAATTCTAGAAGTTCTGCCATGCAACCCGTTAATGGCATTAACCGGAAGTACAATGATGGACCAAGAGGTGGGAGGAAAGGGAGGCTATCTGGTCGTTCTGATGACTTTGAGGCATGGAATCATGATTCGGATGATTTAAAGATGGAACTCCAAGCAAGGAAACAGCGAGAGGCAGCTCTTGAGGCTGCCCTTGCTGAAAAGGAATTTATAGAAGAGGAGTACAGGAAAAAGGTTGAAGATGCAAAGAAAAGGGAGGAAGCTCTAGAGAATGATTTAGCAAACATGTGGGTGTTGGTCGCCAAATTAAAGAAAGAGGGCGGGTCTATCCCTGAGACACACACAGAAGAAAGGCATAATGATGTGATGGAAAATAATAATGGTCTAAAAGCAACTGTGAATGAGAGTGCCCACATAGAGATACAAGTTTTGGATGCTCCAAAATCTGCTGATGATGAAAGTCGTATGGAAGAACCTCTTGTTCTTCGCCTTAAGGTAACCTGATTACCTGCATTCTCTTTTAACATAAATGTTCTAGGATTGTTTTGGTATTCCTCTACCATTTGGATTGGAGACGTTAAAAGGCAATCGGTTCTGTTTTAAGGTTCATTTCGTTTTGTAAAACCAACAAGACAAAAGCTCAGTTATGTTTGAATGGCTTTGAAGACATGAAAAAGAAGAGTCAAGTAGTATAATTTTTGTGGCGTTGACTTTCTTAGGTCATAGGTTTGGTTTATAAACATATTTGCATAGAGATTGTGTCCACTTAAAAAGCTTGGCTCAATCCAAATGGTTCTATTCTCACCATATGTTGGCTATACTATCTACAGATCTTTCAATGAATTCAAGATGTTATCATATACTTATTTGTGTGGGGTCAACCATTTTTTTTTTTTCGTGAAAAACATGTGGACACTTAAGAAGATAAAGATTTAAAGATTAATGAATTATCGTCAAGTAGTGTGGTTTGAAGTAGAGGAGTCTTTGTAATCCTACAAATGTTGTCATTGAAAGCTGTGTAACATACCCACTTTTATGTTTCCAGGCTCGAATGAAAGAGATGAAGGAGAAGGAGCTCAAACACCAGGGAAACGGAGATGCCAATTCCCATTTGTGTAAAGTATGTTTTGAATCACCAACTGCAGCAATTCTTCTCCCTTGCCGGCATTTTTGCTGTAAGTCATTCTGAAGTTGCGTAACAAAAGTGTCAATTCAACCCTATATACTCATCGTTTCTAGCAGTAACTCTGGTGTACCTTTTGCAGTGTGTAAATCTTGTTCACTTGCATGTTCTGAGTGCCCAATTTGTCGTACAAAGATTTCAGATAGGCTTTTTGCATTTACTTCGTGACACTCTTTTATGCCCCCAAACGAAGGTAATACAGTTTTCTTATTCTTAGATCAATTAGTTGCATGGATCAATTTGCAGTATTCGATGTGTAGTCAGTCATTTTTCACAAGGGCGATCCTCATTTTCTTTTCTTCTTTTCTATTTTGCAGGCTTTTATGAACATTCTGTTTTATGTGAAATGGCGGGTGCGATTCTTTAATTAGTTTGGTCGTATGTAAGTAACTGTGTAAGAGTATATCGATATGTTGTTTGTGTCGCTCTCCATTTGAGTCCTGTAAAATAACAAGGGACAAAGATGGGGAAAAAAGAAATGTGCACATTTGGGAGTTTGAGATGCAGAAGGGATGATGTTGCTTTCTTTTTTTAAAGCAAGCAGCAAAATGTTGTGATTGAGCTTTGAGGGTTCCTATCATATATAAAACATTACTTTGCCGTGTATAGAAAACAATGTATGCTTAAGAAGCATTATTCTTCCACCTGCGCAAATGTTTCCTTCATTTTTTCACTGTTTATTTTCTTCTGAATTTTGGACATACTGCAGTTCCAAACTTTTCTTTTCCCCTTTGCCGCTACAGTGGTGTTCCAGGCCATTAATACAAGGCCAAGTTTAGTCGGCTTTTTGAGGCAATGATTCTCTAGACATGTTTAGGGTGGCATGGTTGGTGACTGTCCCTAACAAAATACGTATTACATTGATTCTCTAGACACGTTTAGTTGGCTTTTTGAGGCAATGATGTAGTGTGGATGCAAGTATCACATAGGTTGAGAAAAGAAATAGGTTATGGAACTGATAATTACACTTTTTTCTTTTTTTTTACACGCTCCTCTTAATTTTTTTTATATCAAAATTGAATAAATCAAACAAAAATAATGGACAAGATTTAATAAGAGTGTAGAGGAAGAAAACAATAAAGGTTCATAACTTCATATAGGGTCGTTGTGTAGTCGTTGTGTAGTCTGCGCCAATCCTTGTGAAAGCACAAGCATCATTGTCTGATTTAGAAAAAAAATAATCCTTGTATTGCTTCGAGTGTATTGAACATTGCCCGAGAAAGTGCGAACGACAATTATCATTTTTCACGGGTTATTATTTATTAAGCAACATTTTTATTTTTGTTACAAAAGTTGAGCTGGTAAAGTATTTTTTAGATATGCAATTGGTGGATGCTTTGATAGATAAGGTCTTCCTCTTCAGTCCACTGTATTTTGAGTCGAAATCTTTCTCACATCTTAGTCTAACTTAATATGGTGATACCGCTTGTTGGGACCAAATTCACATCCACGGCGGTGCACGAATTTGGTTCCAACACTGGTTGTAATTTTTTTCGTTGACAAACAATAACGTTTGATTAAATTGTTAAACGATAGCTTAATATAGTAATACTGCTTGTAACTAAAAGTAATTTTTAAGTGCGCAATCGATTTCTCACACCTAGGTCTTAGGAGATGGAGGACTTTCAGGCATGATTCTCTCCCGCACATCATTATTTACGAGTGAGCTTATTTAGTTAAAACTTAACTGTTCTTTATTGTCTTTTGATGCTTAGGAGAGAAAGCTCATACTTTCATAGTTTGGGTACTGTATCCCATGCTAACAATACAACATAATGTATAAGTTTTTCTTTATACAACGTTGATACATTACACATGACACCACCATGATGGTGTCTCTTGTGTCGTTTGAGTTTCCGTTTCTGATTACATAAGTTAATCTCCACTTAATGACATACCAAAGATTGGTGAAATAATTTGTTGTGTGTCTATTTTTGTCTCTCTACCTCACACACGGTATTAGGTATGGCGAAGTTAAGGCTGCGTTGGACTTGGAAGCTAGGCCTGACAATTCCTGACACGACCCGATAACCCGACACGACACGACACGAAATTAACAGATGTTCGGGTCGACACGATAACGAAACGGGTCGTTATCGGGTAACCCAATAAGCACATGTTAAGATAACGGGTTGTTTCGGGTATACACGTGGGTAACACGATACACGATAAGCAGAAATATTAAATAATTTTATAAACCTAAAAATAATTATATATTATAAATTAACAATTTTACAATTATATTATATTTAAATATTATATAATATATTATATAATTAATATAATATTATAATAATTATACCCCCGAAAATATAACTATAATATATATAATAATATATATATATATTAAATTTTAAATTAAATTTTATACCCCTAAAAAACTATATATAATATTATACATACAAAATAAAATATAATGATTTAAATCTACTTAATAAATAAATTGTTGTGTGTCTATTTTTGTCTCTCTACCTCACACACGGTATTAGGTATGGCGAAGTTAAGGCTGCGTTGGACTTGGAAGCCAATTTCTTTCATCAAAATGCTATCTCTTATTAACTTCCCTTTCTTATGGGACTCATCATCCTTGCATTTATTTTTGGCCACACCATCCATGTGAATTAAAAATTACTCTTCTTAAATAACTTGCACAAGCAAAGCATCAATATTGCCATAACAAAATAAGGAATACTCAAGAAATAAAATAAAATTCTTAAGTAATTCCGACCAAAAAATAAAATAAAATTCTTAAGTAATTTTTATTGGTATATTAATATTTTAATATATTTAAAAGAAAATTAACGAAAGTGACTAAGATTGCAGACTTTGTAAAATACAGTGACTAAATTAGCTAAATTGAAAACATTGTGACAAAAATTGATTTTAGGTATAAACACAGTGACCACAAAGGTTTTTAACCCAAAGAAATGGTATGCAGATTATGAACAATTAAGGTGCCATTTTATAACCATGTCATCATTTTCAGTTTTCAATTTTTAGTTTTTAGTGAAAACTGAAAACTGAAAACTGAAAGTAGTTACCAAACAAGTTTTCAGTTTTCAAAAAAATGAAAACGAAAACACAAACTGAAAACGAAATTGTTATCAAACGGCCTCTAAGTAAATCCATTTGAAATACGCATGGTTGCATGAGTTTGTAACTAAACATACTAAACATGACATTAAAACCGAAAATTAGAGGTCAAATGGTTGCATGAAGAGAATAAGTCAAGTGGATGAGAGATTCATTATCACTTCATGTAGAGGTCAAATTAAACACGTTCTAAGCCCTCAGATTAGTAGAGAAGAGGAAGACCTCGCCCTCAATAACTGAGGTAGCAAATCACCTTAGGTCCATAACAAAGTAAAACCATTGAAAAAAAAGTTCCCAATAACACAAGTGAAACTTCAAGCTCCCAATAACACAAGTGAAACTTCAAGTGCCCAGATGGCCAAATCATTTGATGAGAAAAAAACCTTACGTTGTTCGGAAGATCTTGCTTCACTAAGGGCAGCAAATCCCACAAGTAACATAAGCAAAATTGGCCTTGATAACTGCCAAGTATACACATCACCAACAAAATGGCCTTCTATTGCTTTTTTCAAACAAAGAACAAAAACAAAAAAAAGAGGAAGAAAAAAAACCCCTCTAGAGGCAATGTGCACTTCCAACCTCACAGAAAGCATTGGAATGATCCTATGAAAAATCAAGAAGGTCTTCCACATGCCACCCGGGCAGCGTCTCCATCAAGTACTTCGATATGCTTGTCGAACCCGAACCATTGTCACTGAAACAATAATTCTCTTCTATCTTGTTGTATGACGAAGATGACATTGTTTGTTCCATTAACGAAGGAGAAGAAGAACTCAAGATTTCGTTCGACGAAACAGTTCTCTGTCTCTTTGTGGATGACTTTGAGGCTCTTGCATCATTAGTTTTTGCGGTCATCACTTCGGAGAAGTTGGAGCAGGCTGATGAAGTTGGATACAAAGAAGAAGCTGCAGAAAGCTTAACACCGGGGAGCAGAAACCTGCTGTGTTTCTGTGTGTGTTCGTTCGATTTGTGAATCGAAAGGTCACATTCCCTGCAGAGAATTGCTCTATCTTCTTGACAAAAGAGAAATCCTCGCCTTTCCTACAAAACCCAACACAAAAAATTTAGGACTCAAGGAGCTAAGAATTGGTATCTTCTTCACCAAAAATTATTAACTAGCTACAACACTTTCTTGTCGCCGAAATATAGTTTGGAATTATACAGTGATTTTCAGACTCTCGTTTTCTCCAACTGCGCTCCTCCTTGTACAGTTCCTTTATTATCTTTGGAGTATTCAATTCAAAGGCTAAAAAATAAGGAGTGGATGGAGGGAAATGGGAGGGCGAATATCACTTCCCTGTAATTTTATCGTCAATAATATCATAGAGAAAGAATGCATCTAGTACTAACCTGACAGATATCACAAAGAGGGGAGTCCTTGAAAGTTGGGTGGAGAAGAGAGAAGCGCTTGTGTTTGCTGGCAAGCTTGTTTGCGTGGTGAATTTGGCGATCGCAGACGTCACAAAGAGCGGCTTCATCGGCAGAGCAGAAGACAGTTGCCTCTTCTTTGTCACACACGTCGCACCGGATCTTCATGATCTCTTTAAAATAATTTTCTCTGGAAGTGCAGCTGCAGGATATAGCTGTGTGTTTGAGTAGTAGTTGTTTAACTGAGTTGGTGATGGGGTTGGAAGGGGAAATGTTATGGGAGATAATGAATGGAGACAAAGAACAAGTATGGGGTTTTGGGCATTTGGCCGATGAGGGATGGACCAGAGAAAGTCAGATAACAGCTAAGAACAACTTGTTCCTGTGGGCGGATGGGTTCATATTGGATGGATGATGTCTCTTTCTCTCCACTGTATTGTCTTTGAAGATGGGAAGGGAGGGGAGGCTTGACAAATATTGATCCTAGCCCTTCTCCTCCTAATATAGCAGAATGAGAGAGAGAGAGAGAGAGAGAGAGAGAGAGAGAGAGAGAGGGGTTAATCCCTCCCTTTATCTCCAAAGAATATGATATACAAGAAAAGAGAGGGAGAGGTGATATGGATGGAGCACTATTGTTAACTCATGGGAGACCAGATCACAAATTAATTATCAATTATCAATTAGTTAGAGGGTTGCTTTTCATACTTGTTAATCACGCGTGGAAGATTGTCAGCTTTTGATAATTCAAAGTAGGACTTACATGCATCAACAATTAATTATGTGTATACTCACTATTTTGAGCATCAATTACAATTTCGTATTCTTGATTAGATTTAATATTTAATGGGTGGACCTACTTGTTCACTCACTTGTAATTTGTTTATGGAGATGATTTTCACACACATTTTTTACCTTTTCAAGCATTATTTTTTATTTATGGTAAATTAAACGAAAACAAAAGACATGACTAAGCTGAATGTGTAGGAGAATAAAAATGATGTGTGTTTTTCATTTGGGTGATGCTACAGAGACTATCTCTTTAAACCATATTTTATAAACCGCATAATGTTGCGGTTCTTGGTTATATTCATTCTTTAAATTAAAAACATAACCATCAACCATCATATCATGTGATTTAAATAATCTCCTTAGCATTTTCCTTAATTTATTTCAAAGTACATATGTCACAATAAGAGCTATTCATATTCGTTATCATTGT